TTTTTTCATTTTCGTATTCTTCAGAAAATTTATTTCGTGATGTTTGTTAGTACTTTGAGTTATCGTGTAAGGGATGTAATTTTAACCTTTATTTTGCTTCCGCACTCAAATTATTATATGCATTTTTTTTTAAATTTTTGGGGCCGTTACATAATGAATGTTTATGTGATAAATATTGTGATCATATAAACATTATATTATTTTTTTTATAAAAAAAACAAGCATATATGCTATGTGACTAGCATGCTTGCCACTTTTAAATCATCTTAACTACCATGTAACTGCCACGTTGTCCCTATTTATTTATTTTTTATCTTTTATGCACGATTATTTATTCATGATCACTTTTGAAAATATAATATATATGCAACTATATCATTTGCCATAAAGGAAATATACATGTCTGCTAGGTGGTTGAAATGGTTGCCACTTTTAAAAACGTCATCAACACGACTGCCACATAATTACCATGTTATACTCTTTTTTTTTTCTTTTTCTTCATTTTCTCCTTTTTACATCACAATTTTTCCTTATTTATTATGGTCACTTTTTGAACCTTACTTATTCATGGTCACTTTTTGAAAATATGATAGTATCTAAACGATGCGATATTTACCGTAAGAAAAAAAATTAAGTGCTTGCTATATAACTGACGCACTTGCCACTTTTAAAAACTTCATTAGCGTGATTAATATGTAGTTGTTACATTGTCCCCATTTAATTTTTTTTCTCTTTTATTTTTTTCTTCTATGTTTCATGCACGATATGTTTTTACTCCATGATCACTTCTGAAAAGATGATATCTATATGCCTACATCATTTACTACACAGGCATCTATTAATAGTGTTAAAAACATTGTTAACAATGTGGGCTAATTTAGAAAACATTTAAAATACAGGCATTTTGAATAAAAAATTTCTATAGGGATAAAGATGAATTTTTTAAAGAAATACAAGTTCTTTTAGGTTGTATATCCCAATGTGTTTTTATTACTTTTGTCAATGATTATTTATACATACTTCGTTCATTATCTTAAGAATGAAAGTAATACTTTAAAAAAATTAATGACGTGCTCATTAAAATTGAAAATAAATTCCATAAAAAATGTAAAAAATTTAGAAGTAGAAAAGTTAATATTATGAATATTTAAAATTCACCCTTATGTGCAGACACCGGATATAATTCATAAAACTACTTTGCTATATTCACCATCATCGAATGATATAGTGAAAAAAAGAACAAAATATTAGTTTCAATAGTTTAACAAATACAATGCTTTTTGAATCATGCATTCCTTTAATAAAGTGTCGGGTAAGAAAACTAAGGTATCTCCATTTAAATCCTAGAAAAAATATAAGCCAAATTATTAGTCTTGATATTACATATATAGTAGAAGTACTAAATAGATTCATCAGTAAGCCATAAAAGAACATTAGCATGTTACTAAGAGGGTGGTGATGAAATATTTACTTTGAACTAAAGACTATTACTTACTTTATAAAAAGTATCTCATATTGTTGAAAAATTTTATAAATACTAAATAAATTATATTTTAAAATAATTTTTATCACTGACATTGTTTATGTTTTTACTCCTATTAATACTGTTGTATATTAGAACTTTAAAAAATATTATTATTAATCTAACTATAGAAACAGAGTCTACTACCTAACTTCAATAAGTGAAAAAGTGAATTAATTAAATAATTTATTATTTCAGTAATAAAGTTTCAATGTAAGTCTATACATTTATAATATTCTATTTCTAATTCATAAACTTTCTTTAATACATCTTTATAATGAAAATGAGTAGGAAGATGTTGTTACATTTTGGATAAAGGTAAAAAGTTATTTAATATTACGTTGGTTAATTAACTTTTATTTAATTAATTGCTTTTGTGTACTTTAATGAATAAACATAGATCAAATTGCTATATTTTGGTTTAAATAATAAATAAACTTATAAATAGGTTCTAAAATATCATTTTATATTTCACGACATAAGAAAAAGAAAGAAAAAAGAAAAAAAAAAGAATTATTCTTACTTGTCATAAAGAAAAAGAATTTGATCTGTGTTTTTTTTTTTTTTTTTTGCATTATGAAGGATCAATTGAGAACTCTGCAATGTCACATTTTTTAATTATACTTTTCTTGTTTATTGTATTTAAATTTTGCAATACCATAACAATAAATAAAAAAAAGAGGGAAAATTTGAAATAATAGGCGAAGAAAACATTAGTTATCCATGATTTGAAAGAATGAAGAATCAATTAAAGTTGTTATAGTAGAAAGAATTGATTACAGAGATTCAGAAGTTGAATTATTTCATTTCAAAAGATAAATAATTTATTGTTTATGTTTTAGGTTGTGATAACCATTAAAAGAAATGGGGAGAGAGTTAAAAAACTTTGGTTGTTCTTTCTTGGTTTTATGTACATAATGACAAAAGATTAGTGGCCCGGCCAGCTCAATCCCAAGCTCCTTGTCCAATTACACCACTCTATAATTTTCTTTTTCTTTCTATACAACCAAATTACTGTAGACCATTGCTAAAATCGTACATTCTGTCTATCACCAACAACAAGAACAACAAACCAAATCTCTTTTTCCTTATCAACAAAATTCAATAAAGAAATGAAACGATCGAGCAAGAAGAAGAAGAAGAAAGAAGAAGAACCTTAAACGGAGATATTCCCTGAAAGCAGCAATCCCTCCTGTGAATTTTCCGGCGTAGCCGGCAGCATATGGCGATGACTATGTCTCACCGGAGGAGGATTCACAAGCGCACGGCATAGCGGGCAATCATAATGAGAATAAAGCCACATATCAATACATGGAGCGTGAAATGAGTGGCTACATCTCGGCAGCTCCCTCACTTCATCACCTTCTTCAAAAGCCGACAAGCAAACCGCACATTCATATTCACCACCTTCCTCTTCCTGCTTATTACTCTTCTTCTTCACATCCTTTTTGTACGTAAAGCTTGACAATAAACTCCTGTTGGAACTCTCAAAACTTGGCTGATTACTTGCCCTCATGATCTCCACAAACCTCGTGTCCCGATTCGATGGTGAGCCACGCCGGTGAGCGCACCACTTGATGATGATGAGATTGTAGATTGCGAGAACAATAGCAGCGGTTCCAACAATGACCAGGCCGTAGTATAACATGGGGAGGTTGGACTTTGTGGAAGAAGATGGTGGTGGTGGTGGTGGTGATGATAGTAAGAAAGGATTGGAATTATCTCCCATGTTGTTATTTTAATGGAGAGGAAAATTGTGTAATGAAGATGAAATGATGATGAAGAGAATTATTATAGGCTTTTAGGGTTAAATAAAAAAATTGATTATATAGTTTTCATAATATAAAAAGGCGTGGTTGTAATGGTGCCGTGGAAGAAAATGGTGATCTTACCCATATTCTTCTATATATATGAGGACAAACCCATGTACTATCACTTGACAGTGAACCATGGTGGGTCAGAGTGATTGAATTCAATAGATAACTCTTTCATACATATATATATATATATATATATGTAGACACACAGGCATGTATCTAGAGCTATATATATATATATGTATATTATAAATGGATTTTTAAAGAAATTGGAAAGCATGTGAGAAATGTATATATATATATATATATATATGTCCAAGACATGAATTTGGCATGGGGATCTAAGAATTTAGAAAGTAGGGCATGCATAACCAGAAGTAGTAAACGTGTCAGTTGCTCGAGCAGGCATTATATTATGCCTTTTCTCTTTTGTGCACTTCATCCAAGTAAAAGGACAAGGTTAGTTTATATAAAGAAAAGCAGTAGTAAAATAACACGTGGTCAGTCAATTACTTTGAGTTTTGACATATTTAAGAATTTTTGGATAAAATCAAAAGAAACGTTGAATAATCAGCTTGTAAATGCAGTACAACTGATAAGATGATTACCTAATTTCCTGTTTTTAAAAGCCTTTGAAACAATGGATAATTATTTAATTTAAGTGGGGAGGTAAATGAATATGAAATTTCTTCACTAATATTACAAAAGCTAAAGACCCCTTAAACGAGCTTTATCCCACTCTTAAAGGGAGCTTTGGAAGACCCACCCAACTTGGAAAAGAAAGACTCCATTTCACTTCATTCTGTTTTTTTTTTTTTTTTTTTCTTTTTATTGATTGATGAACAGTTAAACCCAAAAACTAAATTCCACTGTGAATAATATATTATTTGTGTATTCAGTGAATTTAAACATAATTCTTTGGAATTCAGTATGACCTGGAAATGTGGTGTTGGTCTGAAGAGGAAACCAAATGGGCTACGGTTGGGTTTTCTTTCCCTTTTTCTCTCTTTTTTTTTTTCAAAAAAATAAAAAATAAAAAAAAGACTAATCTTTGTCATTTTTTATTTTCATATTTTTCCAAATTTAAACTTAAACAATATATATATATATATATGTGCGTGTGTGTGTGAATTTACTTTTAATAATAATAAACTATATTTAAAAAAAGGTACAACGATGGCAAATAAAAATAAAAAAACTACCATTGAAAGTACAGAAGCTCTGATTTGAATCCCTTATCCTTGAAATCAAAGTTTTTTCTTCTTCGACCTCCTTTAATCTAGTCGTGTGATAACATTAGCATCATATATCTCAATGGCAAGCTTGTATTCATGTCAAAATTAAATTTATAATATTATTATTATTTTTTTAATTTGAAAGTCACATCTTCACCACTCTCTTCTTGAAAGTATATTTTTTTTTTTTATTTTTTATTTAGACCGTTAAATTAATATCTTCACTTGGCCTTGCCTAATTTTCTATTCTATCTTTGATTCATGATTGTTGGAAAAATATTAAAATGGTCATTATTATTATTATTATTATTATTATTATTATTATTGTGGTCCTAAAAGACAATGCTAAGTCTTGAAGTTTTACCCTCTTGGACACATGAAAAAAAAAAATTTACCATCTTCATTCTTGTTGTTAATTCATTAATAAAAAGGAGATAAGATCAAAAAATAATTTAATTAAATAAAACGATTTTGCATTTAAAAAAATATACAAGACCATAATATATGAGACATTCATCTTCTTGAGACTCTAAGTTATTTTTTGTAACATCTCCTAAATTTAGATTTCATTTGACATAATTCTTTTGCTACAACTTTTGCATTTCAAAAATATTTCCACAACCAAACAGATAAAATGTAAAGTATTTTTGACAACAGTTACAACCAAAATCTACTTTTGATAGCTATAGAGACAAAAGTTATAATTTGTATTTTTTATAAAATAATTTTAGTTTTTATTGAATCATAGAGATTTCAAAATAAATTAGATCTAAATCTATATAACCGTACTCATATCGAATTATTAAGATAATATTTGAAAACGAAAACGTATCTGAATCCATAGCGAAAGAAATATAGATCATGTAGTAGATCTTCTAATTCAACACATGATTCTTTGGAGTTCTCATGCTCTCTCCATTTCTAATGACGAAATAACATAACAGAAAAAAATTCTACGTGTGATTTAGGGACTATAACCGCCTATTTATATGTTTAAGTTTTTATTATTTCTAATTTAACCCATTACAAAATTAAAAATAGTATTTTTGGTCTCCGCACATAAAAAGCCTATACTTTATTTCATGTATTAAAACCTAATATTCGTTTAACCTTAACATATTATTTTTAACCAGACTCAATTAAATTGATAGTCTTTTATACACAATAAACCTACACATAAACCCACACGGTGGATTAAAACCCAACAATCTCTCACTTGAGCTATATGTCACCTTATAATTATGCATTAACAACTTTATGAGTACTCATAATTTTGTTATCAATACTTGAATGCACCCCTAAATAATCTGGTCCATCAATCATATCAACATGGGAGCAAAGTGGTCTTTGCCACAACTATCATAGCTAAACCCATCAATAGTCACGTATATCAGTACTACTGAATGACATGGATCAAATATAGATATGCAGTATGGAAATTACATTTTATGTGATCTGAGCATGCCTATTTCCAACTGGTCATTCCTTGAACCTTAGCTGATCAACTTTAAGTAAATTCAAAGAAAAAATATAAATCAAATCAATATAAATGAAATTAATTACCAAATACATAAACAATATCCAAAATACAAAATTCAAGACACATTTGTATCATAAAAGCAATTATAGTATAAAACTCCCACCGAAACTATATATCTTCAAGAGATACAAATCCTATATAAATAATGTGTTCATGAAAGATCTTGGGTGGTAATCTTTTAGTAAGCGAATCTATAATTATGGAGTTCGTTCCAATGTCCTCTATTGATATTTATTTACTCTGAACTCTTTCTTTAATAACGAAGAACTTGATATCTATATGTTTTGACTTCGTTGAGTTCATGTTATTATTGGAATACATAATTGCAGACTTAATGTCACAAAATATCTTTAGTGATCTTTCAATTTCATATATAATGCACAATTCAATGACAAAATTTCACTGCCATATTCCATGATTGGACGCCTCATAATATGTTATAAACTCTGCTGCCAATGTGGAAGAGGTTATGAGTTTTGGTTAGCACTCTTTTAAGAAATAACTCCTCCTAGCAAATAAGTAGATATAGCTTGATGTGGATCTCTTGCTGTCTTGGCATCTAGCAAAATTATAATAAGAATAACTAGTGATCTCCAACTGATTTGACCCCCTATATGTGAGCATGTAGTCCTTCGTTCTTTATAGATACCACATGACACGTTTGGTTACTTTTTAATGATCCATATCTGGATTGCTCAAATATCTCCTTATCATCTCAACAACGTATGCAATATCCAAACGTATACAAACCTGTACATACATAAGACTCTCTATAGTTGAAAAATAAAGAATTTTTTGCATTTTCTTAATCTCAAAGTCATTATTGGGGCATTGACTTAGAGTAAAGTTATCTCTCTTAAACACAGAGGTGTCATTTAGTTTACAATATTGCATGTCAAATATCTTAAGAATCTTTTCGATATATCCTTTTTGTGATATTCCAATAATACCTCGAGAATGATTCTAGTATATCTACATCACTAAGACAAAAAGGGCGTCTACAAGATCTTTCATTTTAAATTTTTTTATTAGAAATTTTTTGTGTGTAATAAGCTTATGTTGTTATTGGCAAGCAATATGTCATCGATATATAAAACCAAAAAAATGTACTTACTCTCATTAAACTTATGGTCTATACAATCATCTACTATATTCATTTTAAAACCAAACGATATGACAACTTAATGAAATTTATGATACCATTAACAGAAAGCATGCTTAAGTCCATAGATGAATTTTTTTTAGTTTGTAAACCATTTGTTTCGTATCACCCAATACAAAGTTTTTCTAATTGTATCATAAAAATGGTCTCGTCAATATTACCTTTGAAAAATATTGTCTTAATATCCATCTTATAAAACTCAAAATCAAAATGCATTACTAAAGCTATTATAGTTTGAAAAAAGTCTTTCAATAAAATTAGAGAGAAAATCTCTTTATAATCGATGTCTTCTTTCTGTATAAAGCCCTTAGCGATAAAACAAGTCTTGTACCTCTCTACATCGTCTTATGAATCCTTCTTGGTCTTAAATATCAATTTGCAACTAATGGATTTCGTACATTCAAGAAATGAGATAAGATCTTAGACGTTATTGTCTTTCATAGACTTGATCTCTTCATTCATGACATCAATATACGTTTAAGAGTTGAATTTTTCATAACTTGATAGAAGTTGATTGGATCATCTTTCACTATTCGATTTCATCTGCATACTCTTGGAAAAATACAATATAACCATCTAAAATTGCACTTCTCATCTCTTTAGTGGACTTTCTTAATGGCATTAGTTCTTGAGTTTATGAAGTTTGTCTTTTTTGAAATATCTTCTTAAGCATGCCCGGGAGGTATTACGACATTGTCTAAGTGTGGAATCGCTTATTGAATAATGTCAAGTATAAGAATTTAATCTTGAATATTGTCAAGAACAACTAAAGGAATATTAACATATTCTTCTTCAAAGACAAGGTTCTGAACTCTCTCTCCCACATAAACTCAACATCCTAAAAAAATCAGACATTTTTTGTCTCAAAAATTGACTTAGTTATGAGATCATAAAACTTGTAACCCCTAGATCATTTAGAATAACTAACAAAATAACAATTAATAGTTCTGAAATCCAATTTCTTTTCGTTCAGCCTATAACGCCTTGTCTCAGCTGGACATCCCCAAATGTATAAATGCTTTAAAATAAGCTTATTACTTGTCCAAAGCTCATAAGGGGTCTTTGCAGTTGCTTTAGTTGGAACTCTATTGAGTATATATGTT